ACAATTTTATGACAGTTCAAATAGAACATAATAAGTAAATAAAAAGAAGTATCAGATATCAAATACTGTGATCAAAATAAGAATAATTTCAGTAATCCCAGCAGCCAGAAGCTAAGAGGTGGTGTACACACCTTTATTCCTAGGACTCAAGATTAAAAGATAAATGGATCTCTGTGAGTCCAAGGCCACAAGGATCTACACAAGAATAATCAGTCTGAAAGAGAATTATAGCTCACACCTTTAATCCCAGCATTAGGGATGTATATGAGGCAGATGCAAGGTCTCAGAGTGGCATTCATTCTCCAGCCACTCTGAAGATAGGAGAATTTCTGAGACTTTGTGAGACAGGACCAACCCATTCAGCCTCTTTTAGAGGTAAGATGTTAGTGGTCAGCTATTGTGCTTTTCTAATTTTCAACTTGAACTCTGAACCTGAGTATATGTCTCTGGGTCTTTTAATTTTCGTGCTGCAAAAGTATTTCATCAGAATAGGGCAAAATAAAAAAAGAAATAGGAAAAGGCCATCTTTTAAAGATCCTTGTAGTAACATTATAATAATAGTGACAGGTTAAATGACTTTCTTACAGTCAGGCACAAGACCAGAATTTCTCTTTTCATACTGTCCTTAAGTATTACTTAAATGTTCTAGCCAGTACAATAGCAAATAAAATGAAGGAAACACAATTTTGAATTATTATATAATATTCCATACATATGTTGTTTTCTGAGCATATCTGATGAAAATTGAATGGCTCTACAGAAGAGGCTAAAATTGAAGGACTCTACAGAAGAGGCTATTATAATTTAAGTGTATCATGTATTAAGCACCCACAGAAGTCAGATGAGGGTCACCAGGAAGTGAAGTTGTAGTATGGGCCATCATTTGGATTCTGGGAAGAGAACCTGCATTTTCTACAAAACTGAAAGGTCTCCTTAGCAATGAGCCTTCTCTCTAACTCCCAAATCATTGTTTTTTATACTGTATTCATATATAAAGTTCATATAAAAAGTCAACTTATGTTTTTTTGAAAAAAATCTAAGAATTGATAATTAGAAATTATAAGGGGATAAAACAAGAGTGTCACATGTTAACTACTTAGGGAGTTAAAAACTGCCAGGTACTGTGAAGCAAAATGAAACCCCTGAGCAAGTAAAAAATTACATAATTATTGTGGTCAAAAGCGCTAAGTACCTACGGAGATTGAAAATCTTATCAAATTGGTTTAAGGGCAAGGTTAAGAATAGCATCATTTACAATGTCAGCACAGTTTCGTAATGCAAATATGTAAAATGTCTAGAACAGAGAACAAATACAATGTAGCCACACAGAGATGAATCTTCCTATATGAACTCATTGCCTGTCAAGGCAGAAGATCAAAATGTAGGCTTGTTGAAATCTTGCTGGATGTCGGTACATCCAGTGATTAAGTCATTGCTGGCAGAGCCCAGCAACAGGAGCCACCAGGAATGCTAACTGCTTCTGGTTTCTCCTTCAGAATCATAGTCTGTGAGGCACAGGTTTTAGCAAACTTATCTTTATCTTACAATGTGATCTTGATGCTAATACTGCACAAAGTATGGTCATAAAGCAGCAGTATAATGTATAAAATTTCACAAAATATGCAAAATTGAATGAAAGAGAAATAGTTAGAACTGGGTTCCAGGCACATGTCCCAAAGGCTTAGGATATAAAATATGTATTTATTGAATTCTCAAGTTTTATTTAATTGCCCATATCTTTTTTCTATTTTTTAGTAAATTTTAAATGTTTTAATATAATATAGCCTTGAATAGGTAATGACTGAATGGCCAGATATTCGGAAAGTAAAGATACTTTTTCTACAAGCCTGAAAACCAGTTTTCAATTACTCAAACCCACACAAGGTTTGAATGAGAGAACTAACTCCACAAAGTTGTTGTCTGACCTCCGTACACACGCTATGGCATACACCATGCACACACTCATCTTGTACTTCTACTAAATAGATAATAACAACTGTATATACTCCCTTTCTATCACTATAAAGCCAATTTTGATATCCTCTTTTGTTATTGACCAAGAAGCTAATGATATTCAGTATATAGTATACTGAATATGTAGTATATGTTCCCAATGAAGACTAGCATGCTATTGTGTTGGAGAGTTCTATGTTAATTTGAGACAAGTTAAAGTCATCTGAGATGAAAGAACCACAATTAAGAAAATGCCTCCATAAGATTAGGCTGCAGGCAATCATGGAAGATAGTTTCCTAATTAGACATTGATGGGGGAGAGACAGCCCATGTGGGTAGTGCCATTACTGGACTGGTGGTCCTGGTTCTATAAGAAAGTAGGCTGAGCAAATCATGAAGAACAAGCAAATCAATAAGCAGCAGTAGTCAGTGGCTTCTTCTTTAGTCCCTGGCTCCAGCCTCCTTCCTTGATTTCCTGGCCTTACACTGATAACAAACTGTGATGTGGAAGCTTAAGTTGAATAAACACTTTCCTCACCAAGTTGCTTTGATCATGGGGCTTCATTGCCACAATAGAAAATCTAACTAAATTAACCATATACACATGTACACATCATATCTTTAATTTATTCATATATATATATATATTTCTGTGTATAAAAATTAAAAAGTATGTTTGTTCTGACTCAGACAGAAACGCAGACATGCAAACACACACACATACACTCTCACACACACATACACAAAAATATACATACCAAGAACACTTTCCAAAAAACTGTAGGCTTGCAAACCATGAAATAAAAAATTGTTTTCTTTCCTCTGCTGATCAGGAGTCTCCACTAATAAAGAGGGTGAAAAACAGAAGCCAGAAGCACAGTTACCTCATGTGAGGTTTGCTGCCTTAAGTGGTCCATGGTATTAATCTCCATGAGAAATATCATAAAAAGATGCATTAAGCAATGAACACAGTATATAACACTAGACCAAACCCAAAGTGGAGATAGGAATAACTTTGACATCCCCTACAATTAAATATAGAATAAACAGTCTCAGGAAACTCTTTCGTACTCTGCGTTTTACAACCTGTCTGTCTCCTCTTCCTAAATTTTCCCAGAGTGTTTCATATATGTATCCATTGGGACTGGACTCCAAAACATACAAGAAAACAAAAAATAATACCTACATAATCAAATTAATTAATATCATTCATTAAAACCCTCATTCACCAAAATAAAAATGAAAAAGATGAACACCAAATCAATGATTTTTCTTACATTGGACTTCAGAAAACTTCAGACCTCTAAGGAGGAAGGAGGGAAGCTGAGGCTTGATGAACATTATCTGAATTTGAAAAAGCAAATGTGGCAAGAGTTCACATATAATACTTAGATCTGTAACTAGAGGAAATTACAGACCTACACAAAATGCCTTCTTCAGTCCCTAGTTGAGCACTCCGAGGGCATGTGTTGAATATATCTCAAGAAGTCTGAGAACAGATTACCTAGAAGGGACAAAGAAAAGAAACATTGAATCCTATACCAGAACATCAATAATAAGTGTTCCAGTAAGTAGTTTAGGAGTTCTCATCAATCACAAGCTACCACACATAGTAATAAAAGAGAACTGGCTCAACAATAAGGTGAAATCGACTGAAGTGAACAAATTCTAGTCCAATTAACATGGCTCTTATTGATTTTCAACATGGTGGCTTAGACCACTCATTTTAACTAAATCTCTAACGTCCACTGTGCCTTTCTTACATCAAGTTCATTGTTTGCTATGTTTTTAAATTTTGCAATTGCACTTTCTGCATTCTGTATTGAATGCTGCTTATTTTTTATTTAATTTTTTCACGTTGCATATCAACTCCAATTCTCCCTCCTTCCCTTTCTCCCACCATGTCAACATCCTCCCATACCAGCACCCATTCATTACTTAGAGGGGATAAAGTCTTCCTTGGGGAGTCAACAAAGTCTAACATAGCAAGTTGAGGTAGGCCCTTACCTACTGTACCAAGGCTGAGCAAGATATTCCACCATAAGGAATGGACTCCAAAGAGCCAGTTCATGCACCCAGGGTAAGTCTTGGTCCCACTTCTAGGAGCCCTACAAACAGATCCAGCCACACACCTGTCACCCACATTCAGTGGACCTCGTTTGATCTTATGTATGTTCCTGAGCTGCCAGTCCAGAGTTCGTGAGCTCCCACTTACTCAAGTAAGCTGTCTCTGTAGTTTTCACTATCATCACTTTGAACCCCTCCCCTGACTCACATAATCTGCCCTCCCTCTCTTAAACTGAGCACCAGGAACTCATCCCAGTGCTTGCCTGTGGATACCTATATCTACTTTCAGTTACCAGACGTAGGTTCTATGATGACAATTAGGGTAGTCACTATTCTGATTACAGCGAAAGACCAGTTCATTGTTGCTAGGAACATTAGCCAGGGTCATTCTTGTAGATTCATCTTATGCTTGGGAGGATGTAGAGTAAGGGGAACACTGCTCTACTGTTGGTGTGTGTACAAACTTGAACAGCCACTCTGGAAACCAGTATGTGGTCATTTATTAGAAAACTTGGAATCAATCTACCTCATGAACCTCAAGACCTAACAATACCATTCTTGGTCATATATCCACAAGATGCTTAATTATACTACAAGGACACTTGCTTATCTATGTTCATAGAAGCATTATTTTTAATAGCAGAACATGGAAACAACCTAGATGACCTTCAACCAAAGAATGGATAAAAAAGTGTGGTGTTGGGGCCTAGTCCCCACAGGGTCTCTGAGTTGTTAGTCAGCTGATAGTCACAAGTGCATCCTGTTTTTGAGTCCTGGCTTAGTGCCCCTGCATTGTCTCACTGACATCAACATCTAGCAGAAGGAAAACACACTCTCTTCCACCTGGGGTTTTTCCTCTGTGCGGTATGCCTGTATATATAAGACTTCTCCCTCCTACGAGAGAGAGACCTCTTAGCACTTACAATAAAGACTCTCTCTCTCTGTCTCTCTCTGTCTCTGTCTCTCTTTCTCTCTCCCGGCAATAAAGGCAGCACATACATTCTCTTAGTAAAACAGTAGGAAATCTGGTCTTTCTTTTCCTGATACCTTGGACTTGCTTGTGGCATGGGTGCTGCAATTGGAGGTCTCACCAAGATCCAGAGAGACTTGGAAAGACTGGGAAAGATTGTCCAAAAAGAAGACTCGGGAGAGGAGAGACTCGAGAAAGAAAAGATTTGAAAACAGGTACTTCAACTTCTAACAGTAAAAGTGAATGGTCAAATCTCCAGGCTTTCGCCTGAGAGATCACATTCTAAGGAGAAGGTGTATTGAATTAATCTCCAGCCTTTCACCTGATCCACTGAGGTCAGGAAAGTAAGAAGAAACAGAGAGACTGCCCTCAATAGCTGACCAGCAAGTAAAGCTATGAGGGTATATTGGAAAGGTGTCTCATGTGACACCAAGGTCGGGAAACAAAGGGTAACCTGAGAGATCACCCTCAGTTGAGGGTGGATTGAGTAAATCTTAAGGCTTTTGCCTGAGGGATCATCCTCAGTTGGAGGATGGATTGAAAATGGGTGAATTGAAAATGAATAACAGTTAGTAAATGAGGTACTGGTATTAAGTGAAAGAAAATGAAAAGATAAAAGTATATTGAGTGGAAAATACAAGGAGAATCGGGATACTGTGTGCTGTTGTGTTGTCTTTAAACTGTTTCATTGCTAAGAAAGGATAAAAACTGCTAAAAGACATTTGATTATCAATGCTGCTGAAATAATCAAACTTACGTATTTTGAAAATGCTTTGACTTCTAAATTTAAATATAAGGACAGGTTACTTGGAAAAAGAATTTCTGCTTTTGTTTCCACAAAAAATAAAAAGTTGTGGGTTCCTTCTGCACTAGTATGGTTTGATAAAGCAAGACCACCTGAAGCCCAGGTGATCCAACATCTAAAACAGCTGAGATGATGCAGCCTTGCAGGCCACAAAAACAAGAACTTCAACAGGTTTCTGGTTTTTTTTTTGTTTTTTGGTTATTTATTTATTTATTTTGTCATGATCCTCCTGGTATTTCAGTGCCCTTTAACAGCAGGAAGTAGTTTGTAAAGAATGATGCCCACATTTCCAATTATTTATAAATGTTTGTTTGCATTTGTACAGGGTTGGTTATTGTTACAAATTTAAGGTCAATTTTGTGAGCCATCTCTAAACACTTTTTACAAAGATTGGGTATAGCTGTAGCCCCTGAGTGTAGCTCAGAACTTCTCAAATGAAGGGATGATGCGGGGCACACAGGACTTTTTCAACCTTTTGTTTTAATTCAAGGATTGGCTGGAGTTGTTCTGTCATAGAGATTTCAAGTAAGGAAGTTTCATTTCAACAAGCTAATCATTACACAGGGAAAAAGAATGACTGAAAGATGTTTGTATGTTCTGAATATATGGTGTGGCCACACTGGTATGTATGAAATGTGATTGTGAATGTGTGAATGTGAATTGCTTAAATTTCCTTGGATATGTTTAAAAGGATACTTATGTTGCTTTGGAGATAGTTAAAAAGCTACCTAAATTGCTTTGGATATAGCCAAAAGGAGCATCCAGCCAGTCAATATCTTAACAGGAAAGGTTGACAATTTGAGTCCTCAAAGCCAGTCAGTGGAAAAATAGCAAAACCTTACAACGTGGTCTGAGAGCCAAAGATTGTATGGAAGATTCTACAGAGTAGCAAAAAGTTCAAAAATTTTTCAAATAATAAAAAAGTGGGAGATGTTGGGGCGTAGTCCCCACAGGGTCTCTGAGTTGTTAGTCAGCTGGTAGCAAACAGGTGCATCCTGTTTTTGGGTCCTGGCTTACTGCCCCCACATTTCCCCACTGACATCAACATCTAGCAGGAGGAAAACACGTTGTCTTCCACCTGGGGTTTTTCCACTGTGCTGTAAGCCTGTATATATAAGACTTCTCCCTCCTACAAGAGAGAGACCTCTTAGCACTTGCAATAAAGACACACACACACACACACACACAAACACACACACACTCTCTCTCTGTCTGTCTCTCTCTCCTGGTAATAAAGGCACATACGTTCTCTTAGTACAAACAGCTGGACGTCTGGTATTTCTTTTCCTGATACCGCGGAATTGCTTGTGGAGCGGGCGCTGCAGTGTGGTACATTTACACAATAGGGCATTGCTCAGCTGCAAAAAATAATGACATCATGAAATTTGTAGGCAAATGGAAAGAACTAGAAAAAGTTATTCTGAGTGAGTTAACCCAGACCTGTAAAGACAAACACAGTATATAATTATTCATAAGTGAGTATTAGATACAAAGCAAAGAATAACTAGGCTACAATCCACAATTCCAGAGAAGCTAGATAAAAAGGAGGCCCCTAAGAGGGACAGACATAGAAGGCCCCAGGAAGGGGAAATATGTAAGGGCTCCTGGGTTAACTGGGATGGAGGTGGAATTGAGGAAATGTGATGGAACATGAGAAATCCAGATGTCTGAGTTGGGAGAGGGATGGGAAGGGAGAGCAATGAAAGAGATATCTTGATAGAGGAAACCATTATGGAGTTAGGGAAAAACCAGGTGCTAGAGAAATGACCTATGTTTCTTTACAGGGAATACATTGTCTTCCATAGTTACATGCTACAACTGGCAGTAAGGGACAGAATCCTGTTACCAGTAACCAGTCTGAGGAGTTCTTCTCAAAGACCCATAACTGATGCAGCCAGAAAATATGTTTAGGAAAGGTTACTGAAAAAACAGAACTGAGAGGCTATATTCCTTAAATGTATACTCAAATATATTGGAGTTAAGAATATACATATTTTTTATTCTTTTAAAAAATTTATATTAGGAACAAGCTTGCTTCACGTGTCAATTCCAGATCCCTCTCCCTCCCCTCCTCCCCCACTTCCTTCAGGCTCCCCCATTCCCCACCCAATACTCACTCTGATCCCCAGGGAGGGTGATGCCCTCCATGCGGGACTCTCCAGAGTCTGTCATTTCATTCAGGGCAGGGCCTAGACCCTCCCTCAATAGTCCAGGCTGAGAAAGCATCCCTCATTGTGGGGTGGGCACCCAAAGTCCATTTGTATGCCAGGAAAAAATACTGATCTACTACCCAAGGCCTCATTGACTGCCTAGGCCTCCACACTGACACCCACATTCAGGGCATCTGGGTGAGTCCCGTGCTGGCCCCCTAGCTATCAGTCTGGGGTCCAAGAGCTTCCCATTGTTCAGATCAGTTGTTTCTGTGGGTTTAACCAGCCCAGTCTTGACCCCTTTGCTCATCAGTCCTCCCTCTTTTTCACTGGATTCCAGGAGTTCAGTTCAGAGTTTAGCTGTGGGTGTCTGCATCAGTTTCCATCAGTCACTGGATGAAGGTTCTGTTTCCCAGACTCTCTGGTAGTGGTATTGTAGACTGGTGCTCCCCTGATCCATGTCTAAAATCCATAAATGAGTTAGTACATACCATGTTTCTCTTTTTGTGACTGGGTTACCTCACTCAGGATATTTTCTTCAAGTACAGTCCATTTGCCTGCAAATTTCAAGATTCAATTGTTTTTTTTTTCCACTGAATAGTACTCCATTGTGTAAATGTACCATGTATTCTCTATACACTCTTCAGTTGAGGACATCTAGGTTGCTTCCAGGTTCTGACTATTACAAATAATGCTGCTATGAATAATGAATATAGTGGAACAGACATCCTTGTTGTATGAATGTGCATCTTTAGGACATATGCCTAAGGGTGGAATTGCTGGCTCTTCTGGTAGATTGATTCCCATTTTCCTAAGGAATCTCTATACTGATTTCCAAAGTGGCTGTAAGAGTTGGCACTCCCACCAGCATCTCTCCAGCAAAAAACTGTTAGGAAATATATATTCTTTTTTATTTATTTTTAAATTTAAATTAGAAACAAGGTTGCTTCATAAGTCAGTTCGACACATATGTGTGCGCTTTTCTAAATTAAATTATCTTAAAGATGTAATCTGTAATTCTATGACTGGCTTTAAATGGCAACTAATGTTTGAAAATTAAGGAAAGTTGGAAAACCAAGTAGAAAATGAGCTTGCTTACTTATTTCTCTTATTTTAAATAATTTCTTTTGAAAATGAGACTGCACAGTGTTTAATGAAGTATTTTTCATGTTCGTGGATAAAAGGACTGTAGAAAACTTTTCTAAAAAGGGCCCAAGATTTTTAGACATGATTTTTACCTTAGTAACAATTCTTTCACTGCTTTTAAATACTTGAGTGTCACTCAAAACAATAATACGGGCTATTGTTCTTGGTTGCTCCCTGTAAATACATGAAAAGATCCTGTAGTTGAATACAGCACATATTTTGGTTGCACACCATAGAGACAACAACCTGGAACTTACCAGGGAAGTCTCTTTTTACTGTCTAGCTTTCTGAGTGTTGTAAGGTGTGATGCATCCCTCTAGTGAAAAAAAGACATTAATAAGTGTTATTAATGTTGGACCCTTCATGCTCCATTACTCACCTGTCAGACAAGACTTGCACACTTGCACAACAGTGATAAGACTGTTTATTGGGATAAACTGCTCCCTTGATTGTAGTTGAGGAATTCATGCTTGGTAGACATTGTTAAGGCCTATATGAGGAAGGTGATAGCCCAAGAGAAGAAAGACTACTAATGTTTTATATGGTGGTCACCTTGTCAAACGACATTCTAATTACATTTCTATTCATTGGTCTGTGTTAATCTGAAATTTGGTTGGATGAGCTTCTTGTTTCTATGAGCAGTGAGTGGTTAATGCTAAGACTCATACCTTTTCAAAGTGCTGAAAATAAGTGACAGTGTAGAAGGGACATATATATCAATATCACACCATCACTCATGAAATATAAAAGAAGGCAGAAAGAATGTAACAGCTATAAGGAGAGGAGCTCTGTGAAATTCTGTCCTCTGAACTGAACATGACATGGGCGTTGCACACACAAACTCACAGCAGATGTGAGGGGTGTAGTAGGGTTCCAGAGACACCATCTTTAGCTTAGAGAATTGATGGCTCCTGAAGTGTGAGAATGACTTTCCTTTGAAGGATATTTACTGGTCAATTGGCCATGACCCAGTTAATGTCCCCATACCTATGTTCATATGAGAATTAGTGTTTTTAAAAAAGGACATTGAATATGAAGAATAGAGAATATTAGAATATCGATGAAGAGACCAGTGGAATTGGAAAGAGGGAATTAGAGGTGAATGTGATCAAGATATACTATGTAGTAGTATGATATTTACAAAGGATAGTAAAAAATATATGCCTCACACCCAGTGAGAGACATAAACCAAATCCACAGGTGTGAGGGACTCTGTTTCATTCTTAGGCTGCTTTAATTTCCAATCTACCCTGCTTCAGCACATTATTTACTCTGTATATTTGTATATAGGGGTAGATGCTTAGGGATACTTTATGAATTTTAAACTCAATGTAACTTCTGCTAAAGCCATTAAATCCAGTGAAGAAATATGTCAAGTGAACACCATCAAGGTGTGACTTAGCAAAAATACCAATGTTTCAGGATTAAGGATATAGAAAAGCCTCAGCACTTGATCATACTGAGCTAGCTTTAATTTGGATTGTGTTGAAGGGTATTAGAATTTCATCTGGATGATAGATGACACTTTTTGTCTGTTTGTTTTACATAAAGTGAAGATGGAATTGTTTATTATTTTATCTGCATTTTGGATATATAAGGTCCTTTACATCTTTTCTCCTCTTTTATACCAGCTCTTCCCTAAGGAAAAGTCTGCTTTCCAATTGCCAACACACAATCACCTCTTCCATTTCTTTTTAATAGACAACAAAATAGAGGGATATTTCACCCTAATTAAACAATATATGTGCTGTGTGACCTGAGCTTCCCATTAAATTTCATTAACAGCCTATCTGACTCTCAGAGTTTTTTATCCAGGAAATGGAACATTTGATAGTGCCTTACCTTTATTGCCAAAATATCTTTCAAAAATCATGAAGACTCTGATTTCAAGTAACTTACAAGATAATAAGTTACTCCTACATAATTTCATGGATTGTATAAGATATGAGCCATATAAACTAGAATATTTGAAATTTGCATGCTTTAATGTGAACTCTATTCCCACAGAGATATGTGAAGATGCCCAGATGATCCATACAAAATACTTCGGATTTCATAAGAGGAATACTAAACATTGGAAAGTTGAATATTTCATAAGAGGAGGTAAGCAAGTCTGTCCTCGATTCTCATGCAATCATTACATTATTAAGCTGAGGAGCAAGCAAATTTGCTCTTTACTTCAGAGTGAGACAATATATCCTGCATGTCTGGCCTTTATGCAAATAATCCTAGACAGTTCAAAACAAAGGTCAGCCAATACATCATACACAGACATGCAAACACACCAAAACCCCACTGATTGTTTTCTTAATAATTCCAGCAACATGAAATTATCATTAAACAGAATACTTATATTTCAAGTCTGTTTTAATTTTTAAATAATTTCTTATGTATCTCAGGCTGGCCTCAAACTCCCTGTGCAGAAAATTCCTGAATCTCCTCCACTGAACTGGGATCATAGAGATGTACCACCATGCGAGCTTGTGTGGTATGAGGGTTTGAACCCAGGCATTTGTGCACTCTTCACAAGGACTCTACAAGTATCATTATCACTATCCCTGAATCATGTTTTAATAAAATGTAATCACAGATTATTTTGGAGAATTGGATCAAAATTTCTTCTTTAATGAACACATGTTCCCCATATAAATTTGTTGATTTTATTTATGGAATTGACCTAAATGAGTATTAATATCCGATAACCAATACTTAATTTGCAAAATTAGAAATAGAACGGGAATATTTTTAAATGAAGTACTATGGAAACAAACCTTGAAAAACTGTATGTAGGCTGGACAGTGTGAAGAGAAATGAAAACCCCTTCTTAGTACATGCTGGTGATTTTGAAAGAATGAAACAGTTGTTTGAAGAATCTTAATCAGAAAAAGTCTTGTAACCTGAATTAAATCAGTGCATGCTAATAGCCATAGATTAGTGGGTAAAGGTTCTTATTGCTAAGCCTGACAACCTGAATTCAATTCCCAGAACTCGCATGTGTGGAGGGAAGTCTGATTTTTGCAACTTGTTCTCTGAACTCCCCACATGTCCTGCAGCACACGCATGCCCACATACTCACTGATGCACAAAATAAACAAGCTTGAAAATTAACAAAACACAAGTTTGGCATGTAAAAACATATATTCCATGAGGGATATAAGAAATACTAGCAACTACATTAAATTATAGTAGTGGTTCAATAATATACATATAATCAAGAAAATCCTATCAAGAAATCAAACACTAAGACATATTTTCTGAGACATGCAATGGTGCTTTTCTGTCATAAGGGGAACTTTACAGTAAATTGTCAGTTAAAAACTGTGATTTTTTTCCACATCTTTGAAACAAAACTCAACAGTGAAGCAATTCTCAATGTGTCGGCATTGATCCCTTTTGCAAACATGAATCTCCAAAATTATTTACATTACAATTCATCAGAGTAGCAAAATTACAGTTATGAAGTAGCAATGAAAATAATTTAATGTTTATGGGTCACATCGGTGGTGATATATTATTTATGAGTTATTGAAGCTTGTCTGAAGATTCAGAAAGCAAAGTCAGCCACAATCCATAGAAGACAGGCACACACCTTTAATCCCAGCAGCCAGAATATAGGAGGTGGTGGTACACACTTTAATCCTAGGACTCAGAATTAAGAGATAGATGATCCCAGAAAGACTTGAAATTGAATCAGTCTCAAAGAATAACCAATCACAGGTCTTTTATCCCAGCACTATATGGGTATAACAGATACAAGCAGGTGCTTCAGTGTTCAGTAGGAGTCACTCATTCTCCCACCACACTGAAGATATGATCATTCATTCTTCTGTTACACTGAGGAGAGGTTACAGTCTGAGGCTTGGTGAGAGTTCATGGAGACAGGATCAGGCCGCTCAACCTTAGGTAGAGGTAAGAAGGTAGTGGCCAGCTGCTTTGCTTTTGGGATATTCAGCTTGAAATTTGAACCCCAAAATCTGTCTCTTCATCATTTAGTGTTACACACCTCCACATAAGGAACTCTATTAAAGGGTAATAGCATTTGGAAGGTTGAGAACCACTGGACCCAGTGTATTTCAATTACAAATACCAGTTTTTTTTGCATTCTGATTACTTTTGCAACTATGTTCTCAGTACATAAGACTATAATCAAGAAACTCATAAAAATAGATTATGAAAGAGAACAATAGGAATAGTGTGTGGGAAACAAATATCAGAACAATAAAGATTTGTGTATTTCCAAGATATACATTTTAGAGAAGTACAGATAAGCAGAAGCAGAGACACAATTCCTGACTTATCATCAAATAATAAAACAGCAAAGCAAATGATGTTTTCCTTGCTCCAATATGAAAACTTTTTTCAACCCAAGAGAATCAAGAGAGGAAGAATCTCATGATTAAAGAATTAGCATCAGCCGGGCGGTAGTGGTGCACGCCTTTAATCCCAGCACTCGGGAGGCAGAGGCAGGCGGATCTCTGTGAGTTCGAGGCCGGACTGGACTGAAAGCCTCCAAAACAATACAGAGAAACCCTGTCTCGTAAAAAAAACAACAAAAAAACCAACAACAACAAAAGAATTAGCATCAATAAACTCTTCATATATGTTCATGTGTCCCACATTCTCAAATCTTCCCATCTATAGTTTCCAATATAACATGCCAACAGCCCAGTGGAATTTTTTTGTAGGTAAGCATGAACAGTAACAGGCCTAAAACAATTCATCTGAATTCTGTGGTTTTAATATTTTTATTATAGAACAACATTAATAGAAACATGCTTTTCTTCTTAAGACACATTTTGGATTGAAGTAACTAGTGTTGTCATTATGTATGTTTCTTTAAGAGTGTTCATGGGAATAGTATCATTGTCCTGTCTAAAAACTACTGCCTTTGGAAGTAGGCATCCTGTTCTCTGGCTCTAAAAATCTTTCTGCATAATCCTTTTTATTATTTTCTCTGAGACTTAACTGTAGAAGTTTTATTACAGTTATACCAATTTTGAGTATATATCTCATGGTATTTTATTCTCTGTATTTTCACCAGTTGTGGATCTCTGTTAGGGCATTTGAATGCCATTCCACCCTGCCCCCCCCAATCACACCACCAACATTACCATCATTATCAACAATAACATCAATCACAAGAAAAAAACTTTCCTAGGGGATGAGAGCTGCAGTTTTTGTCAACATAAGTATTTAGAATATAGTCAGAAAGTATACTGGTTTAGAAATATGATTATTCCCAAGCTAAAAGCACCATAATTGCACTACTGTGGATATTTGCAGGGCCACTCACCGTGCTGGTTCATGAACTTGACAGCTGGAGAGAATTCTTCATTGCTTTTCTCCCTTAGCAGCTTGCATAAAACTTTCAGTTATTATGAGAGCTGGTTTGCAGGTCAATTTCAGATGGACTTCTCTGTGTCTTGTGTCCAAAGTATGTGGTGTTTTCAGGAATATGTTCTTATCTTCCATTTCTAGTAAGCAACCATGTATAATGGCAATAAAATATATTGTTTTGTGAGTATCTCTGAATCCCCTGTCCAATAACATAGATTTTCCATGGTTTTTGTTAGTCTGTTACTTTTGCATGTGACATAACTCAGTGTATGTGCACATATATACATATTTTAAGTAATTTCCCCATGTATTTTTCAAACATCTTTAGCATTTTTATCTCTCCTTTCATCTCTATTCTTCTGTATTACACTCTTCCCTCCTTCCCTCCCTTTTTACACCCCCCTTTGTTTTTCTCATTTCTCTCTTGTTTTGTTTTCAAGAATAAATGTAGTAACTGAATTATGTAGAAAGAGTCCTTGATACATGCATAAAAATAAAGAAGACACCACTTATTTGTCAATAATATGAGAAAAATTCAGTGAAGTAGTATTAGACACCTCTTTCTTTTTGAAAAGGCTATGTGACTTCTTCATGATAAAATGCATGTTTATTTGAAATCCACTGAGTTATTTCTATAAGCTATAAATTAATTTCTCATTAAAGACATTTTCCATGGAACTAAGAAACATAATAATTACAAGTTTATGGATCATAGTAGCATTTTTCTCTTTGAAGTACAATGTGTTCATTTTAATGGCAATTTAAAATTTTCATCAGTCTTGTTCTTGACAACCTATTCAGAATATTGAGTAACTGTCACTTGCAAGAAGCATGAGAAACAGTTTTTTTAATGTAAAACCTATGTGGTTTCCTTTGAAACAATAAGAGTATGTTCCTTATATTTAATTGTCCATTTACTAAAACATAGAAATTCCTCTATTACCAAACAAAATCCATGTAAGAAGCACTGTAAAGTGGAAGAGAAATTTTATGAATAACGAGTCAAGCTTGGAAACTACAAATGAAAAAAATAATTTAAGTGAGAAGAAAAGAGGACAAAAATGTTTAGAACAATTAAAAGAGTATTACAGACAGAAGATAAATACAAGTCATTGCACACATGCCTTTAATAAAGAGGAAAGCAAGCAAATTATTAAAGTATTCAAAACTCAAATAAGAGGAAATTCACTGAAGTAATGATATTCCTGAACTTTGTAAGATCAAGCAAATAGACAATAGTCACATTTTAATAAAATGTCAAAACTGAATAATCCTCTACCAATACTAGAAGTATAAATAATGTTGATTTGCTTGACATAAGAGTGATAGATTAACTTTATACCAACTCAAAGTATTACCCAATTCACAGTATTCCCATTTCGTTGTCTTTACAATGTCAAAATATCATACTTTGGTGAGTTTTAAGATTCATTTTGTCTGTCTGTTGCCTGTCTATATCTATCTATCTATCTGTCTGTCTGTCTATCTGCCTGTCTGTCTGTCTGTCTGTCTGTCTAGTATCTTGTGTTTGAACATTTGCCTGGGTGAATTTATATATACCACCTACACTCAGGAGACTATGAATGGCAGAAGTAGGTACTGGATGCCAGGAACTAGATTAGAGTCACTGACAATTATAAGCCACCGTGTAGGTTCAGAGAGCAAAATTAAGTCCTCTGCAAGATCCCTAAATACTTATAAAAGCTGAAAGATCTCTCAAATCCCTTAGATGTGATTTTAATTTTTTATCTTCAAAGTGTCACTAAAGAACCTAAGTGAGATGGCAAAGTGTTTGTTACAGGGCACTGACAGGATTCAACAGATAAATAAAAATTCTGGCATGGAAGAATTTCACTGAAAAAAATTCCTAGTCTCCTTTGTGAGATTCCCAGAAGATGCCTAGGAGGGTAAGAAGACACCACTCAAAATCATATACTTTTATGTCTTAAGCTTACTTCATTGCCATTTCAACATAAAATGTCTCTTTATAATGGGAATATCTCTGCTACAGCACCCTTCACAGCAGATGTTATTTATCTATGTTGAAATTCTTGATTCTCAGCTAGATTCCTCAACTAAGTTCCTAGGTTAGGGTTCTTTTTATTTCCCATATCCCCACATTTTTTCTTGTGTTTTTACCCTGCCTCTTTAAATATCTTCATTTAAAAGGAACTGTTTTATATTTTCAACTAGAGTGCTAAAT